ATATATATGAAAAGACAAATGTCCATGTGATAGAAAGAAAGGTTGAGGGTGAGGAGTTAAGGTAGAGTGAGGAAACTGTGGGATCCAGAGATACTGTTGAACTACAATTCACAGCATCTCCTACTATTGTCCATATTGGGTAAAGCTGTTGGGAACTGTAATTCAGCAGCATCTAGGAAGCCCTAATACTCTATTCCTGAATTAATATATGTAAATTAAAGTCTCAGTCTTCTAAGCATTTCCCTTGATGTAAATCCCATAGGATTTGATGAGATGTATATCAAAGTAGACATTACCCTGTTTGACAGCTTTATTTTCTGTAGCACTCTAAAGTTTGGATGATACTAGAAAATAAGCAATGACCTGTTTATCATTCAAGCTTCCCAAGACTTGAATATGACTTTTTAAAAAATAACTCAGCTATACCCAGATGTTTCTTCAGTTATTTTGTGATTACCTGGTGGTATCTACTAACGTATCAAGTAACAGCCCTCCAAAAATGTGAGTTTTACATTAATCTTTATTACATTATCATCCTTTACAACATTTAGCTTTAATAATTATTATATTTTTCTACCCTCTATTCACATAGTGCAGATTTAAAGTAGTGATCCTAAAAGAAGGGACTGGGAAAGGGGAACAGTAGTTACATTGTATATGGACTAAAAAGTATGATCAAATCTTTTGTTATTTCTGGTCTTGAATTCCAGATGACAGAATTCGAATAAGAGGAGGAAGACTCAGTGGGGGCAGAGAGAAGAGCACCTTAGCACCTATAAGGTTGGATGCTGTTCAAATGTTTGAAGGGGAAAAAAGACATTGACTTAAATAAGTGGCATTGTGATGAACTAAACGGAGTTCTGCTGATATTTATCAGTAGTGATCTTGCCCCATGGATTTTCTGTGATCTGTGCTTTAGCAAGCTGTTAGCTGTGTCCAGCAGCTGGCCGGTGAAAGAACCTCATCAGCAACAGATGAACAATAATTCCATTGTCATGTACCCTCCTGTGCATTAGCTGGGCAACAGGACGCTATAGCAGCTGGTCAGACAAAAGGAACGGTTTTGCATTCCAGCAGCTAATTGGGCATTCTCATAATATATGCTCCCAACAAAGTGACAGTCTCTCTTTCTCCACCACCACCACCAAACATACTATTTAAATAAATAGGAGCAAATGCATCAGCACGGATTCAGAGCAACCCATCTTGAAACATGTGCTCCTCAACATTATTCAGGAAAATTTAGAAAATAAGGATTTGGGAGAGTTATTGGTGAATGATTGTGAACACTCAGGGATGATTTACATGGTCTTAATACAGATTTTCTTTCTTTTTCCTTTTTCCTTTTTTTTCCTTTTTGGTGCCCACTTTATTTCACTATTCATTTTTTGCCCAGAATTAATTATGAAAGGGGCGGGGGGAGACTAAAACATGCAGGTGGCAGGTGGTTTTTCTCTAGCCTCAAATTACATCATTGAAACAGGCACTTCTCAGTTTAAATATTCTGCCTCAAGGGCTTATTATTCTGTGGTGTTCATTATAATGTTTTAACCACTGGAAACCTATTCCCTGAAAGCTCCATAGAAATGAGCAAGAGATATGCTCAGGATGAACAGGCATCCCAGCAGATTTTGCAAACCATCAGGAAAGATTTTCAAGAGTAAAAATGACAATGAAAGTTATGAAGCCAATTATATTAATATCTGCCTGGAAGACTTTGCCTAAACTCTAGTCCCCAGCTTCCTGCTATGTTTTTCAATTTTCATTATATTTCTGTATATTTTGAATTCTTCATCCATTTTTCTTCTTTTGTCAACCCAGAAGTGCACAATCTGAGCCCCCAGAGCTGCAATTGACCCCTAGAGCTTCTGAAAATAAATGCAGCCAAATTTTTCTCAAATTTCTCATACACAGGAACAATGTTATTAACTGGGCTTCTTCAATTCCACTCAACTTAAATTTAATTTAACTAAAATTAAAGTCACATTTAGTGTTTGTCCTTGTCATACTCACTTCTTTGCAGTGATGCAATTTTGCATACTTTTTGGAGTGAGGTCTCTGGCATGCCGAGCAAAGACCTAGTGTGGCCTTCAGCTTGAGGGAAGAAGTGTATTCCTGACTCAAACTATTCAACAACGCTAGCAAATTATGCTTTTTGCTATCTTTCATGAAAACTTTAGCAGGTAATGAGGACATCCTCTCCCTGGTTGCACTCCAGATTTTGTTTTGCCAGTTTCTTTTTCAGCCACTTTGCCTACAGCTAAACAAGCAACTGAGCAAGCAAATAAAAATGAGGTCTTATGACACTATCCCCAGCTTACGTTGCCTCAGTAAGCCACTATTAGTTGTGTTGAGTCTATTTGGGTGAGTAGTAAAGGTGAAAAATTGGTGGAGCCTGGCTGAAAACTGCTGTGTCCCTTGGAATCTTACTAGTTTTTCTGACAGAACATCAAACTGGATTCACAGTCTGGTATAGCTCCAGTGGCACACTGCCTTCGACAAATGCTGAAGCCATTCATAGTCAGTACACAAGGCAGTGTGGTCTTTGTTCTAGTTCCAGGGGGCCATTTTGCTGTCAATGAGACTATGAAAGGGACATTATTCTCTAGAAAAGGGGAAAGTGTCACAATCGTGCAACATGTTATGTTATGTTAAGATTATGGAACTTGGAAAACAATACTATGCTATCAGAAGAATAGCACTTCATAATAATACAATGAACAAATGTTGAAAAGTTTCATATATTTTTAAATTTTATTTTCCATTTTTTCTGATTTGGATTTTAATTTTTATTTCTAACTTGATTTTTATGGAATGATTCTTGATGTTTTATGGAGCCTATTGTTCAGTTTTTTTGTATGCTTTCATAATTATGAACCAACTAGAGTAATTTGTCTGCATATAAGTACTTTCACACGGACTTATTCTATCCTCTAACTTTAATAGAAACAAAGAAACAAGAAGTCCAGCTGGAAAATGTTATCCTTTTTTTTTAGTTAAAACTCACCAAGCAGAGAATTGAACTTTTTCAAGAAAAAGTTTACCAGTAATTTAAAAGCAGTATCTTTCATAACTGATACAGCTATTATAATATTGATGTTTGCTTAACTACAAAAGTCTTATAGCAGTAAGACTTAATGTATGCAGTCTGCTTTAGGGAAAGCAATTACACCATCTCTTTCAGTAGAATCATGATTTGTTGTGGTATTGGCCTGGTTCTAAACATATTTACTTATAAATAAACTCAGTTTAAATTCTGTTAAACAAAATATGTTTTGGATTAGGTTTTTGGTAAGTTAAAATCTTGGTTCCATCACAGTCATTGAAACATTACTGCCTGAATGATAAAACTATCACTCATAAAGAACTTTGTGCTATCAGGCAGAACAGAACCTCAAAAAGCATTTTGTCCTATTTAAAAGTATGAGCTTCTGCTGGCTAACCTTTGACAGCTATGCATCACATTTAAACAACAAAGCTGATTAAATGTCATCTACCCATTTTCTCACTAGAGGCACAAATGACCAGGCTCAAATTATCCTACTTCATACACATTATATAAAAACCTGCCTCTCTAGAGAAGGCTCTAATGGTGGGAAAAAGTGGGAGGAAAGAGAGGAAGAGGATGACCAGCAGCAAGGTGGATGGACTCAGTTCCAGTGGCAATGGTGCACTGCTAAAAGACCTGAAAGACTAGATTAGGGACAGATCATCATGGAGAAAATCTATCTATGTGGTTGCTAAGACTCAACACTGACTTGGTGGCACATAATAAATCAATTGATTTTTGTTAGGATAAAGCACTCAACTGATAGGTACAAAACTAAAAGAACCATGCTAACGAGAAATTTCAAGGAAGTAGATAAGTTATTCTGGGGGAAGAGAACATTCTGTAACTAAGAAATAAAATGCGCTGTGTAATCCTTCTACCTGATTTGCTAATTTCTATATGTGGGATCCTTGCAACTGAAACAGAATTCTATCTACTACAGAGCAGTGTGGTCTAATGGAGACAAGGTGTCTCTTGAATAGAACCAGTAAGACTGGACTCAAATTCTCTGCAGCTGTAAATCCACATTAGTCCCAAGGGACCACATGCCTTTCCAGCATGTTGCTAGGGAAATATGTCCTATGAATTAGTGGAATGTCTGAGTAAACATGGGTAAGATGGTTTGCAAACCATGAATCTCATTAGTGACAATTACAATTGAAAAGTCTACACATTCAGGTCTGGGATGGAAAACCAATGCAATCCACTAAACCTGGCAGGGCTTTCATTGCAAAGAAAGAAGGAAATGATAGATTTTATAGTGAATTTCCTTACTGTTGTTCTCCTAAGTATTATCCCAAGAAGTAAAACATTTAGGGCAGCACTTGTGGACAGAAGGAAGTGCAGAAGAGTCTCCAAATTTATCAAGGTTATATTTTGAAATAAATCAATTATTGTATATTACTGCCGAAGGGAGGTGCTAAGTCAGGAATCTATAAAAGTTACCTAAGTGCACTGCTGATATCCCTTCCAAGATCACTGTGCAGCAAAATTGGCAATCACACAGAGCTAAAGTATAACATATAATTTAGTTCTCAGGTGACATGGCTCAGAAAATAGAATGTTCAAAAATAATGTTTGGCTAAGTCATATATCAATTTTCTGGTCTTTTAAGGTTTCACACTACACTTGTGTAAAACAGATTAGATAAGCAGTATTTCAGTCTTTACAGCTATGACTGGGATTCAAGGTTCTTTTGTCCAGGCTCTGAAATTTTGGGTTTTCTATCTTTCTACTTCCAGATTGTGCACCCAGACATTAATCTATTTCCTACTTTTTGGTTTATCCCAGGGCAGTCTATAACAGTTACAAATGTAAAATGCAATACATTGAAAAATTAATGTAATTATCAAGACAGTCATTAACATAATTAATTTTATGTTATTAAAAATTAAAATCTTGGTAAAGAGAAGCAATTTAACCATCTTTCTAAATATTGGGCCAAACATACCTCCCTAGAGAGCACGTTCCATAGCTTGGGAGCCGCACAAGAGAAAAGCCTTTCTAGCATAGCTGATATCAGCCATCTGGTAGCCAGGCATCTTAAGAAGGCTTTTTCCTGATGATCTGAGTAACCAGGCAGCTTCATAGCTTCCTGCCTCCTGAAGATGCTACTGCTTGTGAAGTAAGTGGAATTGAGAGAGAGTGACTGCCCAAAATCACCCAGCAACTGAGAGTGAGCCAGAGTCTCCCTGGTCCTAATCCAACACCTTAACCAGTATGCCATACTGGGTCTCTACTTACCGTCCCATAACCTTGAGAGCTACCAGCTGGAAAGAATCCATGTGAACTGGACAGGTGTTTGCAAAGTTATTTCCTTATGATCTGTGCCAACATTAGAAACCAACTTAAAACAAATATAACCAACTTCATCTGCAAAGAATGCTGAAAATTACTCAGTGTGAGTTTCCAATATTCCAGTTTCCCTCTCCTGACATCTTGATGGAGATGCTGCGTAGTGTAGAAAACCACAGCATTCCTGTTCTGCCCTGATGCAATGGAGAAGTAAGCCCCCTTTGCTACGCCCACTGATGCAGAACACAAATAGGCCTGAAAGAGCACTCTGCTCCATGTTTGGTCTTATTTCTCAGACAGCCTTCCATTTGTGCTCCAACCTTTTACCTATCCACTGCATTGCTCTCAGCTTCTGGTATTTTCAGACACAGCACAAAAAGCTGTGGTAATTCCAGCAAACTTCTAAACATGTAGAGCACTCTGCTCCATGTTTGGTCTTATTTCTCAGACAGCCTTCCATTTGTGCTCCAACCTTTTACCTATCCACTGCATTGCTCTCAGCTTCTGGTATTTTCAGACACAGCACAAAAAGCTGTGGTAATTCCAGCAAACTTCTAAACATGTAGAGCACTCTGCTCCATGTTTGGTCTTATTTCTCAGACAGCCTTCCATTTGTGCTCCAACCTTTTACCTATCCACTGCATTGCTCTCAGCTTCTGGTATTTTCAGACACAGCACAAAAAGCTGTGGTAATTCCAGCAAACTTCTAAACATGTAGAGCACTCTGCTCCATGTTTGGTCTTATTTCTCAGACAGCCTTCCATTTGTGCTCCAACCTTTTACCTATCCACTGCATTGCTCTCAGCTTCTGGTATTTTCAGACACAGCACAAAAAGCTGTGGTAATTCCAGCAAACTTCTATACATGTAGAAGAGTATCTGAATGCTCCTGTTGGAAGTCTCATTGAATTATATGTTTTTGTATGCTTATTTTTGATTGGCAGAACAAAAAATGGAAAATAAAGCCCAATTCTCTCACTTCCCCGTTTTTCTCTCTCTTTCCTCTTCATTTCTGTATCACCCAGCATTCATTTACTTACTTTCTCTGACTCCTGACTTTATCACCTTAATTTCTAAGTGCATTAGCATATCTGAATAATCATCAGGGATAATTTACTTATTTATGCAAATTTGTTATAGTCACCCAACTCCAATGGACTCTAATTATTGATGGGCTATTATCAATAGAGACTTTACCCAGTTTTTTTAAAAATTATTATTAAAGAAAGTACATTCACTTCATCAGGATTCTTTGTTTGTTTAAGGTATAAAGTTTTGTGATGCTGTATGGTCTGAGTATATGACTTGAACATTTATTCTTTTGCTGTTGATGATGTGCAAAAAAAAAAAAAAATCCATTAAGGGAACATGTACAGAAGGCTTAAGTAGAGCATATCATGAAAAGGAAGCTCTAGTCTGAAAACTGACAGTGAAAACTGATAACGTGGGAGTATATCTAAATCTAAAACCACCCTGTATTGCTAATAGGGCTTAAAATGAATATGAAACTACTGATTCCAGTGACAGATTTTTGCAACAAAGAGGGTTACCCAGGAAGGGTAAGGAGGGTTTGTTTGTTTTTTTAAGGAGAGTATCAGTAAAAAAGGGTGCTGTATTCATAATCTTAGATTAACTTGGCCACTTCCCAATTGCTAAGAAAGAGGAACAGAGCACAGCCTTGTTTACAGCTTACACATATCTTCATCTATCCATCTATGGACGCAAATCTATAATTCATTTTTATAGAAATGCAGTATGTTGCAAGGATTCTCAAATAGTTGGTTTCAGTGGCCCAGGGGGCCACAAACAAAGTTGAGCAGGGTTGTGCTTACAAAGCTGGTGCAAAAAAAGTCTGCAGCAAGTTCTGACAGGGCTCCATCTTAACTTATGCAAGCCTCTTTTCCTTTCCCTTCTTCCTTTGCTTGTCTTGGATTAACAAGGGCAGGAGGACAACAAGCCCTATGTCCTATTGTTTCTGCTCTCTTGCTTTGCACTAGTGAGGGAATAGGAAAAGCCATTTTTTCAGGGCACATTATTCCAAAAAGGTAAGATTGATAATTGTTAAATTGATGTGGGTCGCGCTGGGGCTTTGGTATATCTCTTGAAAGGCATGTTAAGTAGTCTTACCTCACCTGCAGATGCATCTCCATCTTGCCATTTGGAGTGTCCAGATACATCCCACTTCCCCGCACTCCCATGACTTGCAGATCAGCTTGGCTGTGGAATTGCTGGATTGCACCTGTTCTGCCTGGACAAGCTGTCAGCAAAGAGATCATTTCCTACAGCTGCTGCTATTAAGAGCAAATATTGATCCCAAATAAATGTCCAACAAGAAATGAGAGTCACTGGCTGAAAAATAGAAGCCCACAAACAGATAAATAAATCAGAAGTAGGTTGATGTGTTGTTTATTTTTAATGAAAAAGTGGTGGTTGTTGCTTTAAATAAAATTTCAAGATTATATCATTGTTTTACTTGATATACAAACTGCAATTCAATTATTAAATGTAAATGGGATACTTACTTCTTGCCTATCCTAACCTGTTTGTTTTATTCATGGGAAGGTCCCACAAATTCATTTATCATTTTAGGGGGTAATGGCACCGCTAAGTTTGAAAATTCTTGTATTGTACCATAGTGGGAAAGACTGCGACCACATGAGTCATGTATCTGCTTAGTCTGTTGCCTTAGTAGTGTTCACTACTAATGGGTTACTTCAGAGCTGCTCCCTGTTGTATATTTTAATAGTTCTTTATCCCAGATTGATGGGACAGTCCTTCTGGTTGAGGTGCCATTCATAGCCTGAGTCCAGTTTAACACCTGATGCCTTTATTTCTCCCTAGTTAGACAGAAAGAACCCAGGATAAAATAGTAAGAACCAAGCAGTGATGTATAATAGCATCAAAAAATACATGACAATTGGCTAGCATTTAATTCCAATGAAGAGTATCTGTATTTCTTAGGTATACAGGAGGTAAAATGCTGTGCTTTTCAAGTATGCCATGTCAGTGCATTATTAACCTTGGAATTAAAAGTGGCTGAAATGAGCTCAGCTCACATACTGATATCTTCCTGAAGCCAAAAAAATCCACATGGAAGCAGCCACATGATTGTCTCCCAAGGCTCTTCTTAAAGAGGCAATGGATAGGAGATAAATTAAATGTCCATGCTGTCCACAGAAAATAAAATTGATTGACTTTTTGTTCTTTGGTCAATAAATTATTGGCAGACGTTAGGCTAAATGATGGGAGGGAAAGCAACCAAGTCAATGACAATAGGGCAAAGAGCAATCAATAGCCGAATCTCTCATTAATGCAAAGAATGACAGTTTTACTCATTTTGATACAGAAAAAAAATATGTTAAATCCCAGCCTTTATGTCCCATTGCATTGAGAACAAAGAGGGGAAAGGGTCAGCCATGCATAATGAATGTGAATCTACAATTTCTTTAGATCAAAATGCCCTTGAAGTTCTGAAATTCATTTTTAAACAGATTTATGATCCCTTGTGTAAAACCCAATAGAAATCATTAGAAATTATGGATGAGCAGTTACAATACTGTGGAGGATTGCAGACCTGCCAGCATATACTTTATTGGCTCATTGCTTCATGCAACAGTACAAAATAATATTGGTAAATTCCCTGTCTACATAAATCAACCAAATCCTGCTTCCTCCAACACCCACTCATGTCTCAATGGCACATCAATTATCTTTCTAAATGGAATAATATCACAACTTATTTTAAAAAAATAAAAAGTCAAATTTATCTCTCTAGAGTCAAGCTTGACTCCTAGTAATTGTAGTTTTACTGACAACAATATAGAAGTGGTCTGTCATTGTTTCCTTCTGAGCTTTTAAAAATTTCCTACCCTAACCTGGTCCTCTTGGTGATCTCCCAAACAAGTGCTAATGAGATCAAGCTCAACCAAGATTAGCTCAGTAGTGCCACCATCTGTTGACTCTTTTTTTATAGATAATATAGCAAGAAAACAAGCAAATGAATCATAGGATAAATCAATCCATAGTTTTCACTCAAGGCACAAATGAGCAAGCTCAAATTATCCTACTTTGGAAATATGATGCAAAGACCTAGCTCTGTTGAGAAGTCTATAATGCTGGGAAAGGTGGAAGAAAAAAGAAGAGGACAACCAGCAGCAGGGTGATGGCTGCACCACTGGAAGACCTGAAGGGTGAGGCTACCGACATACCATCTTGAAGAACTCTATGTGGTCACTAAGAGTCAACTCCAACATGATGGCACATAATCATCCATCATATAGAGCCCATAATATGATCCCAAATGAAATGAAACATATGTTCTGCACATGGCAGAAAGAACCCATTTGCCCATACATGGGACTAAGTATGTATATCTTCTGGTTCATTTTAATGAATCAGCGATTTTTTTAAGGGTGAGTAGTTGTGCACAGAGGAATCCTATTGAATTGCAGTGATTTTTCTTGCTTTTAAATAAAACAGAAATAAAATCAAAGCTGTTGGATATATATTTAGGAATGGAATACAGTCACTTCAGTACATGGAAAAAATGAATAAAGAACCTTTCTCTTTAAGTGAGGATTGGAGGATTCTTGGATTCTCTCCAAGAATCTGATTTTTATTTTATTTTATTTTATTTTATTTATTTATTTTATTTTATGTATCCATTATATTTAGCAGACACATATCAGACTATTCAATGAAACCCCAAAAGGAACTGCTTGTATACTTGGGCATCCACAGGGGAGGTGTGTGTGTGATTGCAGTGCAAGTTTCACTCATTACATACTAGTGTACACTGTCACAATGCAATTATGAAAGGATGGAGTTTGTGTCATGATGCAAGTTTTATCATTTTGTTGT